GAAGATAGACGATGCATTAACCAAGTGGAATAATATGATTAGGCAAATGGTTTTGGAGGAAGATCCATTTGCACCCGAAATTATGGTTGTTTCTTTACCGAAGGCCTTCAAACAGCCAATGATAGAAGCATATGATGGAGTCACAGATCCGCTTGACCACTTGCGGACCTTCATTGATTTAATGAGGCTCTATGTAGCCCTGGATGCAGTGATGTATCGATCCTTTCCCCCGACACTCAGGAGGGAGTCTAGAGACTGGGTGACGACCTTGGCACCCAAATCTATAAAGACCTTTGAAGAGCTTTCTAGGAGTTGTATGACATACTTCATGAGTAGCAAGAGGAAACAGAAGACGGTAATTGGGTTTATGCAGGTTGTGCTAGAGAAAGATGAATCTTTACAGGAATACTTAGTTAGGTTCAGCCAGACGACATTTGGTATAAGGACTTTCAGATGTCTGCAGTGGCAACAACATTAATGAATGAAACGCGGAACTAAGCTTTTAAGACGTCACATTCTAAAAACCCCTTAGAGTCGATGCACAACCTGCTGAAGAAGGGTGATAAGTATGTTGATGCAGAGGAAGTAGAGAGAGTTATGTAAAATCTGAAAGAGGGATGGGAGACAGAAGGTCACAAGCTAAAGTCAGGTGACGAACGAAAACTTATTGATAAAGGCAAATCAAGAAATGAGCGCATGAGCAAGGGATATATTCCGGATCGATCCAATAGATAGAGACAAGAGGAGGTCCAGGCCTTCACCCCTCTAAATACTTAATGAGCCAAGATATTGATGGAGATTAGGGATATGAAAGAGGTTGACTGGCCGAGACTGATAATAGCGTCTGCAAGCAAGATGAATAAGAGCAAGTACTGTCATTTCCATAAAGATCGTGGGCACGATACAGAAGAATACATCCATTTGAAGGAGGAAATTGAACGCCTATTGAAGCGGGGTTTTTTTTAACTAAATATACGAGAAATGATCGAGGCAAGTAGAAAGTTGATGACCA